ATCCGTTATCATTTCAGCTTCAGTTATCAGTTATCATTTCAGTTATCAATTATCAGTTATCATTTCAGTTTTCAGTTATCAGTTATCATTTCAGTTATCAGCTATCAGTTATCATTTCAGTTTCAGTTTCAACTGTTATCATTTCAGTTATCAATTATCAATTATCAGTTATCAACTCAGTATTAGTTTTAGCATTTGTAGTTCTTTCTTTAAGTTGCTTTACATACTAGTGCAATTCAAATGTACTGACGTCCCTTTTGCCCGGGGCCTGCATCTCACAATGCAGGTAATGATTTACATGTTGACGATTCAAAGCGCTAGGATTCTCGTACCAGCTATTTGGTGATCCCAGTTCTTTCGGGACATTATCATTACTTTACGGTCTTTCAGTATTTACAGATAGTCAGTGTTTTCAGTACTTCAGTAGAGGCTTCATAGACTAGAGTAACAGTTAGACAGAGTCGCATGCTTTTCATATTAAGTTATATTGGCTACAAATATGTTTCAGAATTGTATTAGTATTTCCGCACTTTGATTTATATCATTTAGACTTTCAGTATATCAGCATGTGTTAGTTTATCTTTTACATTCAGTATGTTGTGATATCACATGTTGATTTAGTTAGCCAGTTGATTCGCTCGGTCATATGTAGTCAGGCACCGAGTGTCGTGTTAGGTCCAGGCCCAGGTTTGGGGCGTGACACTAAGGCTGGACCAGGTACTCTTCACAAATGCAAAGAATTTGCTCGCAGTTGCAAGCCTGTCAGCATGGAGAATGTTCGCAAATGCGAACACTGATCTCGCATTTGCGAGATCAGACACCAGTTACAGAAATTGCAGAACCGGCAAATGCTCTAAGTCCAATTTTTACTTCGTAGCCTATCAGAAACACACCGAGCTCTCGGGGCTCTAACCAAAAGTACACACAAGTCTAAAACATCATACAAACTTGCTCGAGCGATCAAATCGCTAAAATAACACATAGAACTACGAATTGAGCACCAAATCAATTGAAATTTTCAAGAAAACTTTGAAACTTCTATTTTGACAACCGGACGTCCGAATCACGTCAAACCAACTCCGTTTCTCACCAAATTTCACAAACAAGTCATAAATATAGTATTGGACCTATACCAGGTTACGGAACCAAAATACGAACCCGATATACAAAAGTCAACTATTGGTCAAACCTTTCAAATTCATTAAGCCTTTAACTTTCAAATTTAAACAAATCCCGATATCTCGGGCTAGGGACTTCCGAATTCAATTTCGGGCATACGCCCAAGTCCTAATTCATGATGCGGACCCACCGAGACCGTAAAAATACGAATCCGGATTTGTTTGCTCATAATATTTACTGAAGTCAACTCAAATGGATTTTAAAGATAAAATTTCATATTTTTTTAGTTTTTAACATAAAAGCTTTCTGGAAACACGTCCAGACTGCGCACGCAAATGAAGAGGGATAAAATGAGATATTTAAAGCTTCGAAGCGCAGAATTAGGTTAAAAATATAAGATGACCTATCAGATCGTCACAAAAATAGTCCTTTGTAATACAGATTGAAATAGGCCGATAAACCGCCCGATAAGAGCTAAACAAATACCAATCCGCCTGATATCTTATCGGGTGGCTAGCGGATTAATACATTTAAAAGCTGATAACTGATAAGCCGAACCGTTAAGAGTAAATAACCGTCCGTTGTGCCCGATAAGCAGCCCTAGTTGTGCCCCTCTAATTTTGTAACTAACCTTTTCAACTCTAGAATTAATCGTTGGTGTTTTCTAACGATAAGACACATTTTTGTATAGAAGTTCTTCTCTACAACAACTAATGAGTTGTGAAAAGCCATTCTTCTTAACATTAATCAACCAAATATTCTTCGTTGATTAAAAAATAACCTACCTAATATTCTTCACTATTTACCGACGTTGATCATATAGTACTATTCAATTTCGTAGGCTTTATGCGTGTAAGTACTTTTCTTTTGATTCTAAGTTTCAAACAAATATTAATTCCAAAACTACATTTCTTTGGTGTTTGGTTTTAGAACCAACTAAATTGGTACTGTAGATCTGATTTTTTTGTCATAATTTTTATCTCAATTAATATTCCTAACTCTTTTTCTTTCCATTCTTTTCTATTCATATACGATAAAACTTATCAATTCTTTATGCATTGACTTATAGCTTGTTTGGATGGTTGTTACCCATTGAATTGTATCGTATTGTATTGTTACGTTAAATACGATGTTTGTTTTGATTGTTACTTAAATTTTATTGTATCGTATCGTTAAATCGGTCGTTACATAACGACGGAATGTGCCACTTTATATAACGACCGATTTGGTGTGGTCGTGTCGTTATCTTGTCTTTTTCTCTCAATCTCACTCTTCATTATTATTGAATAATTTATTTTATCATTTACTCTACCTTTTTATATAATAATTTTGCCATGTATCATAATTTTTCTTTATAATATTGCAAGTTTATTTTTTATATTGTTGGTGTGTGATATCATGAAACGATGGCAAACGACACAATCTATCCAAACATTGTATTTATAAAATGATACAGTACAATACAATACAGTACGATACGATACATTATAAAACGGTACGTAACAACCATCCAAAGAAGACGTTAGTTAATTTTGATTCCAAGTTTCAAATTAAACTAAGATTAATTCTTAAACTATATTTTGTCATGTTGATTTTAGAACTTACATCACAAAATACATGCTTTTCATTCATCTTCATTTTTACCAAATAATATAGGCTCATCCACAAGAAAAAAATGTAATGCAAATTGTTAGAATGTAATCACAAGAAGATAAAATACGGAAAGTTTACGTAGCTTATGAGACCATAATGGAAATCTCTCTACAAGCAATCGCATGAAGACACGATTAACTGCAACTACATTCAAATTCAAAAACTGTGTTATCATTCCAATATACATACGTGAACCGGTGTTACTCCTAACAAAGGTAATTTCATATTCACGATCGAATACGAGATTATTAAGGGTAAATGCGCACTTATGGTTGCACGTGTACTACTTAGCTTTCATCTTTATTAACATTTATGTTGCGAAATCTCAGGTGGATACTTCAGCAAGGTAACTAATCTTTCAGCGCCACTAAACTTGCTTCTATCCAGTTCGTACTCCGACTTACCATCCTATTTTTTTTCGTCTGCACCATTTGCAAGACGCACCTTTTACTGAATCATTGCAGTAAGGAAGGCCATCTAGAAAGTCAAATGTAACAGCTATGTACAAATAGCCAGAGATTGAACTCGAAAGGAGTTTCTTTGCGAAACTTGCTTTAAAAATAAATTACACAACATAATGCCATGAAAAAGTTAGAGGGCATTTTAGGTGGGGCTAGAAACTCTTACTTTATTCTTTAGTTTACTATTTTACAACCCTAAATACTACACGATTGGTATTCACGTGCGTGAGAAACTAGTAGTATAAAATACATGGCAAGGGAAACGTGCGTTGCGAAGTTGTGCGATGCATGTGCAAAGCATACGTACTCTTATATTTGTTGTAATGCAAGGATTTTTAATTCAAAAGAAATCATCATATTTACCCAGCGCAAATTTTCTTAATTAAGTTCATTTATAGAATTAGATTTGCATTTTCTTCTAAAGTCGACTAAAGCAAGGAAATAAAAGTACTACGTAATACAGTACTATATTTAAGATTAAATTTATATTTTAAAAATAAAAATTACTTCGTTGGAAAAAAAGTCAAAATGACATTAGATTCTTCTTATTTGATCTGGAAACAGAAAAAAATTAAAAATAAAAGTAAAGAAAAAAATGGGGAACTAAGATAAGATGTGAACATGTGAAAAAATAATAGACCATAATATCTAGTGACGAATCCAAAAATTTATACAGGGGACTAAAAAAAATAGCATGTCGCAGCTGTTGGCATGTAAACCTATGATCTAAAGCAATTTTAATATCTTTACTACTATACTTGATTTTTTTTTTTTTCAAGATTTAACAGCTCACATATAACCAAAAAAAGATCATTTTTAACTCTATTCGTATAATGTTGTTCTCCACCACTGATAATATCCTTTAATCATATATTAGGCATTCATCAAGTCCACCCGAAATAAAAAAACTATAAGCATTTCGACAAAAATGTGATAAATAAGGACAAATTAAATGATTAAGATATTATAAAATTAAAGGAAATCATAACAAGAACAAGAGAATAGTAGACAAAGTTGAGACGAGAAAGAATATCATCGTTTTCATTATATTCGTGTTACCAACCATGACTTACAAGGTTTTTATTTATAAAAGAAAAATAGAATTAGTCATTAGGAATTCTGAAAAACAAAGTGTTTCCTTTTGGAGCTTAGAACATCCACATAAATATTAATTATTACATACAAGTCTTTTTTGGGGTGAACAAATAATATATCATAGCCTGACTTTGGTCTTAACTTTAGGCAAAATTTCAAGCTCCTAGCTCCCACTTGTCTACCAAAATTATATACTAGTAGGATTTAAGTAATTAATTACCTTATCATATGAATAATCTCTCTAACACTATCATCACACAAGGTAAGAATAAAATTTGCATACATTTTACCCTTTTCATACCGCACATATAAAATCACTCTAGGTATGTTATTGTTGTTGTTATAGTGTAGTTGGCAGCTAGCTTTTACATGATTCCCATTTTTGTAATATTGAGGCACTAATTTATAGTTTCTGGCGATTGAGAATATTTTTCTTTTTCCAACAATGTGGATGCCTTGGCCGTGAAGCAACTGCAGTGTATGTGATATGATTCTATCAGTCGTATAACAGCGCATTTGCAGATTTATGGCTATCTCGTGAAGATAATATATATGAGCTGAAAAAGTGAGAATTTGCTTAAAGTACTTTTTATCGTGAAAGATATGGAGAGAAAAAAAAAATTCTTTTCAGGATAAGAGAAAAAATCCACTTCAAGGGATTAAATTGTTTAGATTAGTTGGTGCACATATTGATCAATTCACTAGATATCTCTATTATATCCTACCAGTAGGGGAGTTTAGTGTGCTCGAAGTATACCCGCTAATCGGGCCGGGCGGACCCGATTTAGCCCGTTACTGTAGCATATTGGAACTAGACCATCTATGCAACTGTAGGGGATAATAATGTCTTCTTCTGTTGGCTTCCTTCCACAACGCTCTCGTATAAACTCAACTATAAAACAACCATCAACCAACAACATTTTCAAAAATTGACCCGTATTGTTGTAACTATAAATATCTTCTATACCATCATAACACTTTAGTGTCTCATCTTTCAATTTTCCCAATTCAGTAATGCAAGTTTTCACATCAAGCCCTTCTTTCCTTCTGAGAAACCGTTGTAAGTAATGCAATTTATAATTGTCCATTAAGCGTAGTTGTAATCTTCTTATGGTAGGGACCAATAGAGACCAACATTGGCTTATAAGCATCCGGATTTGATTCACTTAGCCCGACACTTACTCTGAATATGGTACAAGATTTGGTAGATAAATGGTACAAATCTAAATATATTTCATCAAGAATTTGATTTGTCTCGATTAACTCCACATTCCTCCCTTCTTCTATCTGTAATTAATGGAAAAGAGTCATAGGAGTTTCAAGTTGAATTACAAAAGTTTGAGGCTAAAACTGCATGAAAAGGAAGTATAAGCGGATGCGAATCTAGAATTTCTAGTATATGGGTACACTACTAAACTAGAGTCATAGGAGTATCAAGCTAAATTACAAAAGTTTGAGGCTACAACTGCGTGAAAAGGATATTTATTAAGTAGGATCTAATCCCTATTTCTCTTGATAAAGAATTCAATTTTCAACCAAATGCATCATTCAGCATTCTTGAACCATGGGTGCCAACAGTTATTATTATACTAATTTTAGAAAATATCTACATAAAATATCTAATTTTACGAAGAGATCATGAGTTCATGTGCTCATAATTTCTCCTATAAATCTGACCCTCAATAGATAAGCAAAACTTCTTTAAGACAAAGTATGATATACATAGGTCAGTTTGGTTAAGTTGATTTCATTTGTCATACCAAACGTATTATGTCCGTTTGCTAAATATATAAACCAAATAAAAATCAAATTCCTAAACATTTCCTACCTTTGTTCATTTTTTTACGAAAATCCAAACAAAAACAAAATAAAATGAAAAGGTTTTGCTTGTAGGTTTTGAGAGAGAAAGAGAGAGAGACCTCATGTTCTGTAGGTTGATGAAGCAGTGGAGTTCGATGATTTATTGGGGTAATCTCAATAGAGTGTGCCATCCCTCTTAAATAACTTTCTTGAACTGTAATTCCTATAAAAGACAGATCGGGTTAAAATGGTATGGTATCAAATTCTTTTTAATTTCTAGACATAGATGCCTATTATTATTAATCAAATGTCTTGCCATAATCTGTTAGAAAGGACGCACTAAATTATTCTATAAAATAAATTTTAAAAACAGGAAGCGTACTCTAATTTTTAATTAATTGAAAGAACATAGCTCTATTATCCATATCTAAACTTTATGTGCTTTGTCTTTTTATATCATCCCAAATTAATGGAAATTTGAGGGAGTATTAGAGTTTTCTACTCTTTAAGAAAATGAAAACACGTGGAAGAAATAAAAACTGCCATAAGGATGTTAAAGAGTAGGGGTGTTTGTTGGTCAGTATGATACGATATTTAAATTTTTTGGTTCGATATTTTCGGTATTTGATTTTTTAAAATGCGATACCAATATATATTAGGGGTGTACATAGGTCGGGTTGATTTGGATTTTGCAATTACCAAACCAAACCAATTGTGTCGGGTTATTAAATCTAAAGATCAAACCAAATCAATAAAACTCAGGTTTTTCAATGTCGGTTTTTCTCGGGTTTTCGGGTTATTTGGGTTTGTTCGGGTTTTTTTCCGGTAAAATCTTCGTAGCACAAAACATATAACTTGTGCTCAATTTTTTTTTAATCCTAGTAAGATACAACTATATAAGGTATTTTTCAAGAAAATAATACAAACTATGAGATGTGTCATGGCATTATCCTAAAATATTCAGCAATAAAGATAATATAAATATTGCTAATTAAAAAGTCATAATAAAAATAAACATAATCTAAAAGTACTAAGTCATGCTAAAATAAGTAGACTAATAAGGGAGTATTAATTAATTACATGACTAAACGCTAAAGAAAAAATAAAAAATAGGTTATGCATTTTTATCTAAATTAATCATTGCAAAAAAAAATAGATATTCAATACATTGACGTTCTTAGTATTGAATTGAATGTCTTTTGTTAGAGTTAATATTTATTTGATTTTGGTTTGGGCTTTTGTTAGCATTATTTAAGTTACTTATATTAATGACTATAAAACTAATTGGAACATTCAAAAGTTCTAAGTCCAACCTTGAAATAATAATACCTTAAAAGATAAAATTAGGAAAAAATTTAAGAAATATTTATAAATTACATCACAATAAGTATATTTATATATTAAATATATCTAAAATTTCTTTATATTTAATGTCAGGTTGGTTTGGTTTCAGTTTGACTTTCTTTAGTTAAAACCAAACCAAACCAATTATGGTCGGATTTTTTTTTCCAACACCAAACCAACTCGAACCAAACCATAGTCCGGTTTCTTTTCTCGATTTGACCCGGATTATCAGGTTGGTGCGGTTTGTCGGTTTTCTTTGTACACCCCTAGTTAAGACTTTAATGTATCATCCTCTTTTATTCATATCAATTCATACGTGGCCACTAGAGGCGGACCCAGAATTTTTACACGACGGGGGCACATTATTCTGCTCCTTCTTAGTGTTCAGGGTGCCAACTGCTTTAAATTAACCATTTTCAAAGTATATACGTATATATATACAGGATTTCGGTCGAAGTTTGCAGGGTCCGGTGACCCTTCACACATACACATGGGTCCGCCTATGGTGGCCATGCATATCTTTCAAACCAATTCACTATAGAATTATGAAAAAAAAAAAAACATGGAACAATTAGTTGTTGATTACCGCACCTTGGAAAAAAACCTAATGTCAGAAAAGTATGTTTAATTAATTGAGAACATATAAGACATGCTATCCATGTCTCAGAATTTTTCTGTTTAAAATCATCATGTTAGATCAACCCAAACTAATTACAATTAGGACAGCTGTATTAACTTCTATTCTTTTGCCAAAAAAGAGAAAATACTTTTTAAGAAATGGAAACACCAATTCCATTAATCCTCTCTGTATGTTTTTTTTTTTAAAATCGTCATGGTACACAATTCAAACGACACTAATGAGTAACACAATATATTAATTTTAAAAGGTCTTTTCATGTTAAATGTGTTAGGTGGTTTTCCTAATTTTCTTACTATATTTGGTTTTTCTATTTCTTGATTACTCATCTCCAATTGACTGAATCATGCTAAATATTTGTGCCTCTTTTGGTATTTTTTTATTTTGTTGTCTAATTTATTGGCATTAAAGATTTTCTTTACTAGCTTCTGCATCGCAATCTGATCGTTTCGATCCTAAAAAAATGTTCATCCAACTAACTAAGATGATGTACATTTATTCATGACCCATATCCATGTTCGTAAGTTTGTTTCTATTTTTACTTATATTATGCCGAACAAATAGAAAATGATGACTTTTGAAAAAACGAAATTAAAAAGAGAAAATGCTAATTTGGACAAAAAAGTATGAGTAGCAAATTAAAGAATGAAAGATAGCAAGCGAATATAACTAACATTCCAGTAAGAAAAGGCATATATAGAATGAGAAATGCAGAAGTACTAACCTCTTGCTTAGCTTGTCCTGAATTAATTAGGATGAGAATTAAAGGGGCATCATATTTATAAGAGAATGCGATTACTATGGCCAATTGGAAGTCTTTATTTATTATGTAACAATCAAAAACCTTTCTTTATCCTCAAAATACAATAGAAGTTCACCAAGGAAAAATATGATGAGGTACCACGAACTGTTTTCTTTCTTTGACTCGCTCTGCACCAGAAACTTCCTTGCTGGCTGCAGCTAGCCCCAGCTACAATACTCATAAAATAATTACAAAAAAGTGAGATAACATGTGGAAAGAATGTAACGATCCAACCAATTGATGATTCAACTGTTCTCGATTTATGTTTTGAGCATGTTTGTAAGTTGATATTATCATTTGTGACTTGTTGCCATGTTGGGATGGTTTTGGTTGAAACTCAAGGGGCTTGGGGGCATTTCGGAATATTTGCTAGTTAAAAAAATATTGCTAGCTAGTTTTGTTGGTGTCCGGTGAAACAACAACAACAACCAAGTATAATCTCACTAGTGGGGTCTGGGGAGGAAAGTGTGTACGCAGACCTTACCCCTACCCTGGGGTAGAGATGTTGTTATTGCTAGCTAGTTTTGTTGGTGTCCGGTGAAACAACAACAACAACCAAGTATAATCCCACTAGTGGGGTCTGGGGAGGAAAGTGTGTACGCAGACCTTACCCCTACCCTGGGGTAGAGATGTTGTTTCTGCTAGCTAGTTTTGTTGGTGTCCGGTGAAACAACAACAACAACCAAGTATAATCCCACTAGTGGGGTCTGGGGAGGAAAGTGTGTATGCAGACCTTACCCCTACCCTGGGGTAGAGATGTTGTTTCCAATAAACCCCCGGCATCCTTCCGTCCAAGAACTCCCCATCTTGCTCTTGGGGTGACTTGAACTCACAACCTCTGGTTGGAAGTGGAAGGTGCTTACCATCAGAGCAACCCACCTTGTCTATAGTGAAACACTATAGCTAATTTCACCACTAGAAAACTGTCAAAAACCGTCCACGAAAACTGATCGAAATCAGTCGGAAACATATATAGGAAAACCGATCAATTTTTGACCGATTTTAATCTGTCGAAAAAATAGTAGTCGCTAACGTGTAGCAACCAAAAACGATCGCAATTTCCGACCAAAGTCAATCGGTTAATTCAAACAAAGTTGGAAAAATAAACATACTGACCAAAATTGGTCGGTAACTCCTAAATTATTTTTTATTCATTTTTTAAATAACGACTGATTTCGGTCAGAATTATAATAATTAAATAATTTTACATTTCTTTTTAAATCTTAACATACCAACCGAAATCGATCGGAACATTAAAAAAAAGGTGATTTCTGATCGAAGTCGATCGCTAATTCTAAATTTATGCAGATTGCACATTGAAATTATCGACAGAAATCGGTCAGTAATTATTTATTTCTAGGCTTTTAATATGAGTATTCCAACCGAAATCAATCAAAAATCGCCCTTTTTTTATGAACTGAGATGCGTTGGATTGTCAAGTTAAATAAATGACATCATTTCAATACAATTAGGATTATCCTAAAGTCAAAGGATTGAGCTGCCTTTCACGTTACAAGTATTTAATAGAAGACAGATGGTGGAACTATTCTATTATATGAACTGGCTCTAATTGCATTAGACATTGCTGCCTTGATCGCATTACAAATTTTCAATGAATTAGTTCTGGTTGACATGGAGTAGCTGCGTTTCACATATGAGTTTTTAACAATAAACAAGCATTAGCATTATTTGATTACACGTCTCTGAATGTAATGGACCAGCTGCCTTTCACGTTATTAGTCTTCAATAACAAATGGGTGGTGGCATTATATATTTTATTACATAAACATGCTCTGATTACCTTTCACATTAAAAGTTTTCAATAATATGTTGGGGATCGGAAATAACAAGGTGTCATGCGTAAGCCAGAGGTGGCTTAACCCCAGGCCCGCTTTAGGCCTTACAAAATTAGAGGTCCCAAAAGCTACTTTTCTTATATTCAATTTAAATATTTATGATACTTATGTTGTCTTTTTTTTTCCTTTATAGTTGGTTGAGAAAATTTTAATGAAAATGAAAGGCAATTAAATATGTACTTACTTTCTAGTTCTTCTCATTCCAACTTGAATAAATTTTATTTGCAAGTCTAACTTTATAAGATTTTTTTTTCTAAGGTCTCTGTAGGTACGCTTCAAGCTATTTAGATCTTAAAAATTATAGTTCATTTGTTTATCATATTTGTAAATACAAATTCCCGCATGATTGTTACTTTGGGAGGCAATGATACATAGTGTGTTATGTCGACGGTTATGTGAAAAAGAATAAAAAATTAAACTCAATAAAGATTGAATGAGTTGATTACATCATCAAGATTAAATTGCATCTCAAAAGAAATAAACTATAAAACATAAAAATCTAAAATTATTAAACATTTAAGGCCTTTCATTACGGCTTGTCTTTAGGCCTCCAACTCTATTGAGCCGCCTCTGGCGTAAGCTAAACATGAATTCGATAAATAAGACGGCATACGGAAGTATATTAAAAGAGACATAATACTTTAATATGATTTGATCAATTGATCAACATATGATAAAATTAATATAAAGAAAAAAACTTTGGAGAGAAAAATCTCCCCCTAAACAAAACTCTATTAAGAACTACATTGTGGATGTTATTATGTTATACTTTTCCGTGAAGAGAGATCTTCAATTTATAGATGTCCTAACCTTTTTCTTCAAGAAAGGGATCTATCAAATAAGGAAGGGATCGTATTTCTTTAACCAACTATCACGATCCGGATTTCCCACCCTCGGGAGTCGTGATGGCGCCTACTAATGTGAGCTAGGCAAGCCAATTATTGAATAGATTACCTTTATCCATTTTTATACCTTTTTAGCATTTACAAACAATAATGTGAAAAACATCGGAAATTTCAATAAGCGGAATAAATGTAGTAAATTATCTGAAATATGAATCTAATACAATTGTTAAAGTCTTAATCACCCAGAACTGGTGTCACAGTACCACAGACGATCTAAGAGTGGTAAATACAAAGTCTGAAAATAAAAGGTATCATGTTTCTGAATCAAAGAGATGAAACCGAAAATAAAGGATAGAGGAGACGCCAGGGCCTGCAGACGCCTGCAGGTCTACCTTGGATATCTGCATGGACTAAAGGTAGCCACCCAGATGCTATGGTCCAAGAGCTACTCTAGGATATGCACATAGTGCAGAGTGTAGTATCAACATAACCGACCCCATGTGTTGGTAAGTGTCTAGCCTAACCTCGGCGAAGTAGTGACGAGGCTAGGACCAGACTAGCAAATAAACCTGTGCAGTTATATAATATACAACAGAAAATAAAACAGGAATAAATAAGTAAAGGTGGGAGGGGGGTACATGCTTCGGGGGTATATCAATATCAACAGTAAATTAAGAGTAACGACATAAGGACAACTTAAAATTCACAGCAAGACAATAAGAAACTTGTATCCAATCTATAAACACTTTGTATCAACAATTGTTGCGGCACGCAACCCGATCCCAATATATAACATCACTGTTGCGACATGCAACCCGATCCATATCATTATCACTGTTGCGGCATGCAACCCGATCCACATATAATATTGTTGCGGCGTGCAACCCGATCCAAATATATCATTGTTGCGGCGTGCAACCTGATCCGCATATAATATTATTGCGGCGTGCAACCCGATCCAAATATATCATTGTTGTGGCGTGCAACCCGATCCACATACACAATCAACAACAATCACAACAAGAGTCCCGACAAGGGATCAATAAAGAACTACACTATTCTAGGGAACCGACAGTATAAGTAACTACGTCCCGGCAAGGGAGAAACAGCTATAACCAAATTGGTTCCAACATCTAACTACCTAAGCTAACACCAATACTCAGTTATAAGTAGTTTCCACGAGAATAATCATAATTCTTACTCAATACAGAGTATCATCAACTTAAGCATCCGTAGTATTATTTAAGGACACAATAAATTTCAATTCAAGACTCGCGGTCATGCTCGATACCAACGTATAGATACTCGTCACCATGCCTATACATCATACTCAACAAGAAACAAGTAGCAAATAGGACACAACTCTTAATCCCTCAAGCTAAGGTTAGACCAAACACTTACCTCGAACTTCCACGGCCAACTCAAGCCTCAAACACCGCTTTTCCTTTCGAATCCGCCTCCAAATAACTTGTATCTAGTCCAAATTGATTTAACAACATCAATAAATGCTAAAGAATTCATACCCAATGCTCAATTATAGATTTCTCATCATTCCTCCCAAAAAGTCAAAAATCGACCCTGGGTCCGCTTGGTCAAAACATGAGATTCGGACCAAAATCCAATCACCCACGAGCCCGAATATGTGATTAGTTCCAAAATTCAACCCCAAAACGAGGTCTAAATCACAATTATACAAAAAGCCCTAACTCTAACCAAATCCCTAATTTTCTACCCTTAAGAACATGATTTAGGCCTAGAAATCTAATGGGTATTAATGAAAATTGAATAAAATGAGTATAATATTACATACCTATGAATTGGTGGTGAAATCCTCTTTAAAAAATCACCAAATTCGGAGTTTGGAAGAAGAAGTTATGAAATTTTGATTAAATCCCTATTTGGATTTTGTTTTAAAATCACTGGACAGGCCTTCATCGCGTTCGCGATAGGCCTGTCGCGTTCGCGATGAGTTGGACCTAAGTGACCTTCGTGTTCGTGACATTGGGTTGCGTTTGCGGAGCTTTGACCCCTCGAGCCTTCGCGTTCATGGGTCAGTGGTCGCGTTCGCGTGTAACAAAATGTGAACCCATCCCCTAGGCCTTTAACCTTACTCGTTCGCGAGTGCTTGGTCTTGGACGCGTTCGTGAAGGGTATTCCCCCCTTAGCCTCACGTTCGTGTCTCAGGCTTCGCGTTCGCGAATAAGAAATTTGGCACCTGGGATATTTGACTTATGCCTTTGCGAGTGAGACCACGCGAACGCGAAGAACAAAATCCCTGGGCACTGAACAACCAAAAACCTACAACTTTTTATGAGTTCAAAAACTTTCCGAAACCCATCCGAAACTCACCCGAGCCCTTGGGGCTCAAAACCAAACATACGTACTAACTCAAAAATATCATAT